GGGTACCGTCTACGAGGACGCCTTCGCTTAATATACCGACGGGTAAACTTCTTCATTGAACGAATAATACGCCTTCTGCGACGTCTTCTCCAGCGAAGAAATCGAATTCGACGGTTCTTTCGTCGTTGGATACGTCTTAGGTAACGTGTCTTGCGACGTCTTTGAGCGCGCCACCAGTTACGAGGGAGGTATCTACGTCTGGGTCGACGTCTTCTTACGTTACAACGTTGTCGAAGGATTCGTCTGACATAACGACGGATGCTGGCACAGCAAACGGAGGTGTTTTGAGCTCCAATGAATTTGCGTACGATTCTCAACGTACGTGTGCCGAAACGAGACCGCAGGAGGRCAAAGCGTCTACCTCGTGGCGTTACAATAAGCCTGCGTTTGCCAACGTAGAAATAATAGTGGAATCCGCGACCACGGCCGATAGGGAAGAGACGTCGAAGTTGACCATAGTACCGGACGAACATTCGTCTTCCTATTTATAACGGAAAAGTTAAAAATAACATATGTAGTCCTTAACATTTTCGAAAATATTTTCAGTGCTCCAAATTTGTCAAGGAGTACCACATAAAATTAAATAGTATATATAAAAACTTAAATAGCATTGAATGCTATTTAATTTTAATGCAGACGATTTATTATAATTTTAATAGAATGCAAACGCTAAAACTGCTAAAACTTTTCGTAATCRTAAATTGTCACTAAGTTGTATTGATTTATGCTCTTTTGACTTCTACTGTCTATAATCTACGTTATTTATTGCACTATTTGGTTGATTCTTTTTCATGGTCTTAGTGTTTGCACTCAATTTTTGTACGACTGTTGGACACACTATACAAGTTTCAAGGTTTTACCTTTATCAGGCTCTGAAATAAAAGAAAGAAAGAAAATGACAGTTAATGATGTATGGCAAAAAAATAATGCACTATATGACACCCGTGTTTGTTGTCGCATTTTTATCTACGAATGCTCCCAATTCAAAGCGAATAACCAAGGGCGCCAGGACAACCATAACAGTTTACCCTTTTTAAGGAATTTAYCCCTAACTATATTAGCAATATTAGTGACGTAGATTAAATCACGCGGTTGCATAAACGGACGGTACGTACCAGTGCGTAACTAACGGCCGTTGAATAACGTGGCGTACTGAAATAAACACGTACAGCTTTTGACCTTTAGGARTGGAGAAAATTGCCCACAAATCGCCAAAAATCTATCTATCTATCCAAGGGAATTCGGGATGCACTCAAGATACAAACAAGTCAGATAAGTGAATTTCTAAGATACTCAAAGCTATAACAAATACAGTCGTAATATCATTCAAAATTGTTATGGTTGTCCTGGCGCCCTTGGAATAACTGCTCAGTTTTATTTGACAGCAGATTCTCTTACAGACAGACCTTACAAACAGAAAAGATAAAAAATGTGTTGTAAGTACAATAGCGCTAACAATTTACATTTTACCCGAGGTGAGGCTAACCCTGTATTTCCAGAAGTCTTGAAATTTCTTATCGAAATTCAGGGTTTTTCTCAACTCGGAGAAAATGAAAATTTTCAAGTTTATTGTAATATCAACATTTTTTCGTGCTTTCTTTTGTGTTGGTAAGATCTTYGCGCAAGGGAATAGTGCTGTCAAACAAAACAGCCGTTGTTCGCTTTGAATAAGCTTTTTCCCAATTCAATGCGAGCGACCGCTGTTTTAGTAGAAAACAGACTCACTTGTGTAGAGAACAAAAGAAAGCACGACAAAATTTTCACATTACAATAGCTCTAGAAATTCGAATCTTCTTCGATTTGAGGCTTAAACCTGAGCAAGAGCTTGAACCTTCTGGGAATACAGAATCGGATAAAATGCAAATTTATAGGGCTATTGTAATGACAACATTTTTCGTGCTTTCTCTTGTTTTTGGTAAGGTCTATGCGCATAAGAGACTGTTGTCAACTAAAGCAGCGGTTGCTCGCTTTGAGCCGAAAAAAGGCGCATTCCAAAATGGAGTATTGTGCAAGGAAAAGAAATATTCGCACGTATCGGGGGATCAGTCGAAAGAAAAGCAATAGTTTGAGTACTCTGCGTAAGAGGAAAGATTTAAGAGTAACTGATTCGATAAAGAATTAAACCTCTGAGTACTTTTCCAAGAGAGAGTTTTTGTATGTTGCCTCTTATTCTAAGAGCAGAAAAATTGTAAAAACATAACAAAAGGTATGGAATAAGTCCGTGAAATACAAATAAGAACGACATTTCCAGTARCGGACCTGGCGATATTCAAATGCTCCTTATATGTGATTTTTTCCGATTTTGAATAAGTCCGTATTTTTTCACAGCGCGTTTAAGTTATCGAAAAACTAGTATCCAGTCGCTCTCCAAATTGCAAMGCCGCGAAATGCGTAGTCCTTGAGCGATAATCTACTACGTCACTGGGGTTAGACGTTAAATTCCAAATCATCACATCTTAAATAACTTTCAGAACTGGTTTTATAAGTTTTTATTCGGAAAACTGCTTTTCAATAGCAAAAGTTGACCAAATTCATGACGTCACTGACGTATTCGCCCCAATGACGAATTCGCACCGATGACGTATTCGCACCGTATTAGCGCGGCCCTGATAGGAGACGATGAGTTTTCAATTAGTTTGAAAATTCAGGATTACGTTAATTTTCCAAAACAATTGTATTTCTGCATTTTATATGACTATAACTTCAATTTGTGATTGTGGAAAAATCTCACATTAGGAGCACTTTAATAGTATGTGGCGGACCTGGCTGTACATCTGAGGAAGACGATCGTTGAGTGTGCATTAATGATAGATATCGATGAATCATTACCCGTATATATGAAAGAAGGTCTATCCTTGCACACTCAATGGTCGTCTCGCGATGCAAAGGCACGGCTACCTATCAAGATGGCGCAGGGAGGCCATGAAGCAAAAYCACTACCGAGAAGGCATTTTGAGATGAGTTCAAAACGTTGTACTAAATAAACCAGTTATCTCCATATCCGTCAATTAGATACATATTTTTTGTTCAAAAGTAATATTTTCATTTTCAAATGCTAAAAGAATTTTTTTTTATCATATAATTATCTATGAAATACCTATATTTCTCCATTACRTAAAATTGATATTTTCACTAGTGAAAATAACATRTTATTTTCACTRGTGAAAATAACACATTCGAGGTTTCTCTATATAGTGGAAGAAAGAAAAAAGGTATTTTAAGACATAACTTGCTTTCATATTTAATTATATGATAAACAGAATATTACATGGTCRCTTGGAGATACAAATTTTATCTTCTCGTGTTGAAAATCTCTCACTCGTTCGCTACGCTCACTCGTGAGAGATCTTTTCAACACTCGAAGATAAAATCCGTATCTCCGCGCGCCCATGTAATATCCTCTATTTCTTCTCAAGAACGACTTTTCTACAAAAGCTTGAAAACAATAATATAGCAATGATTAAAGATCTTCATGTTTTCAATATTCTCATATCTGAAATTATATTTGATATCTCGAAATAAATACTCACGGTTGACTTTCAGACAGACAGACTTCAGTTTGAGGTCACCACGATTTCCTCCTGTTATCAAATAAATCAAGGTGAGAATATTAGGCGCTCAGAGCCCACAACACTTATTTGAAACTCAAATCAGTAAAGATTCTTTTGCGATTATTCTTAAAAGTGCATTCAAAAACTCATGTATGGATCTTTATATTCGATAAATCASTCCTTATACAGCAATACAGCCTTTTGCAAAAATTATGAGAATTGTTGAAATATCTAAATATCATAATATCGAGTGCATGATGGGTAATCCCTCACGATGCCCTTAGTCCCTTGTCTTTGTAGTTTAGTTTTTTTTTTGGCGACGAACTAATCCGTAGTTCTGAACATTTTCTCGATGTCAACAATGAATTATTCTAGAAAACCAGCGTGTTCGGGGCAAAAGGGCTTCGCGCGGGATTACCCATCATGCACTTGATATTATGATATTTAGATATTTCAACAATTCTCATAACTCTTTCAAAAGGCTATAAGTAMTCTTTCCATAAAGAATACTAATAAGAATGAGCTTTATCAGATATAAAGGCTCATGACCCTGGCAAAGGTCTCAGCTAGGTTTGATACCTCATTATTGACCAATGCAGGATGTCAACCGTGAAACAGACACCAGGGCTTCTAATTTCCTTTATGCGTATTCAATGTGGGAAGATGAGAGTGTTTTGTTAAGTGTTTCGCGCATGATCAGTTTGCCCCATTTGTCGATGTCTCAAAACTTATTTTTACGACCATTTATTTCTCCAAGAATCCTAACGGGGTCGAGGTTCAAATTAGTGCTGGAGTTTTTGAAGCCGTTCAATAAACTCGCAAGTCGTGTATTATCGG